TTTTTTTTTTTTATGTCTCTGTGAGAGAGAGAGAGAGAGAGAGAGAGAGAAAGTATATCTTAGGAGCTACTGAGGGGATTCTTCATATCAGTGGGTTTTATGATGACACCATCTTGTTATTTCCCGTTAATTAATCCTCTGTTTTTTTTTTTGTTGTTGTTGTTGTTTTGTGTGTCTGTATATGTGATGGGGGTAATTTGTTAAATGAGATAGGATGTAATATTTTATTTCAAAACGGAGGCGGAAGCTGTGCTGAGTGTGGAGGGAAAAGGAAAAGATAAACAACATCAACAACAACAAGAACGAAAGTAATGAGCGAGGAGTATCTCGAGGCGGCGTCATTTCTCGCTTACGCCGCTGCCCGTGCTGCCCATACTTCCCTTACTACACAAGAACTTGAACAGGTTCAACGTGCAAGTATGATAATGGATAGACGCTTGATGAGATTGAAACAATCCTGTAGGGATAAACAGAGAAATCCGTTATGGACACCTATATTATCATCAACAAGGAGATTACAGTCAATACAAGAGGGTGTAGTGGGAGCTTTCCTTGAACGTCCTCTCCAATGTACCGCAGTTGTAGTAAAGAGAAAGACGGAGGTAAAGGGATGTGAAGAAGGAAACCGAGTTCCGGTGGAAATCAAAAATTCTCGGTACAATATGAAAGGACAGCAATTAAGAGGAAAAAGGAGACCATATGAAGTGTTTGCACCGCTTTCAAGACTCTCCATTGAGGAGGAGGAGGAGGAGGAGGAAAAGGAGCAAGAAGAACAAAATAAGCATTTTCTTCATCCTTTATCTTTTTCTGATGATATGGAGGTGAAGAACGATTTCAAACCCTTAGTATCACAAAGAACTGATACAGAATGGAAAAAAGAAAAAACTACGAGAAATCATGATTTGGTTCTAACACCTTGTAAAGAAAGAGAACCGCTCTCTGTTGATGCTATGGATAAAAATTCTTTGAATCTCACTCAATCATTTTTGCGTTACCGTCTAATTGAAGCTCCGACAAATATCTTACTAGAGAAGAGAGATATTAAACTCACTTCAGCGAGTGGTATCGTCTCGAATAACCTTGTTCATATGGAAAGAAGTCCTGGTATGGAAAACTATAGATCTCTACTGCGTCCAACTGGAAATTTGAGAAGTTTTTTTTCAAGAAAACTGATGGCACCTGAAATTTTAATGGATGATGATAATAATGAAAATAATAATAAAGAGGGAAATAAATGTGATGTTATTTCTCCATTAAGGTTTAGAAAATGTGAAGAGGGTGGTAAACACGTGCATTATCACATCGTGAAGCGTATGGAGACGGTTGAGAGTATCGCCGCTTTGTATGGTATTCACCCAGACGTTTTGTATGAACTTAATCCCTCAGTTTTATTAGAGGGAGAAAATGGCATAGTTTTTTATCGCGCTGCACTTCCGCCTGAAACAGTTTTGCGTGTTATCATTTCATACCCTTTCTTGAAGAAAGGGTAAGATAGTTTTTTTTTTTTTTTTCGTATAATGGGGGAGTATCTTTAATTCGTTTCCTTTTATATGTTTTTTTTTCTTCCCTTTACGACTCTCCATGTGGGGTGTATGTAAAAAAAATATATTTCCTTGTATATAAAATGATGTGTGCGTGTTTCTCTTTTCTATCTTTTTTTTTTGTTTGAAGCAATTATACAAAGGAGTTTTACCCAAACGCATATATATATATATATACCGAGTAGTGGAAAAAAGAAGGATTAGTATTCTCAAATGATAAAATATTTGCTTCTTATTAGCCGTCAAGGCAAGTTACGCCTAGCAAAATGGTATGTGACTTTTTCAAAGAAGGAAAAAGCTAAAATTGTACGTGAAGTTTCTCAACTTGCTTTGGGCCGTTCAGTTCGGTTTTCAAATGTTCTGGAGCACCGAGGTTCTAAATTTATTTGCCGTCGTTATGCTTCACTCTACTTTATTGCTTGTATTGATAAAGATGATAATGAGTTGATTACCCTTGAGATTATTCACCACTTTGTGGAAATCTTAGACCGCTATTTTGGTAACGTTTGTGAATTGGATCTTATCTTTAACTTTCATCGAGCTTATTTTGTGTTAGATGAAGTGATGCTGGGTGGCGAATTAGAAGATAGTAGCAAACGAATGATTTTAAAGTATGTTCAAACGCACGATAGTATGGCAGAAGAAAGTGAACAGTCGGGATCAAATGGTGCCGCAGCTGCTTTGGCAGCCACAGTTGGAGCACTGAGGAGTTCTTAGAAAAATATAAAACTGCCAAAATATCTTTTTTTTTTTTTTATAGTTCTTTTCTGTTATTTTATTTTATTTTTTTTTTTTTATGGACCTTCCTTTTCCAAACTGTAGTGCTGTGTTGGTTTTTCAAATCTCCTTCTTTTTTCTTTTTCTTTCTTTAAATATGTTTGATGGCGCGGTTCTCTTTTCAATAGCGGGACCTTTTTTTTTTTTTTTTCGGTTTTGAGACCCTTGGCGTTTCCAGCGGGCGAAACGGGGGAGGAGGAAGGGAGGAGCCGACCGCAGGGACCATTGTTCAACCGGAACTGGCGGCGCGGGGGCGCGAGAGAGTCGAAGAAAAGAGGAAGAAAGGAAGGAGTGAAAAATGAAGGGGCTGGCGGGCGGAAGCGCCGGACCAGAAGGAAAGCCAGCCCCGGGGCCGCCCGCCGGCGGGGAAGGGGAGGGGGAGAACCCGGCGACGGAAGGCGGGGGGGATAGAGAACGAGCGCCGCGCGTTTTGCAAATTCCGCCGGGCCGCAGTGCGGGATTTGTGGACGCCGTCCGCGGCGCGAGAGCGCTCGGCGCTTCGTCCGGGCCGCCCGGGGAAACGAGTGTCCGACGGTGGGTGCGGCGGGCCTGGAAAGAGCTCGGTTCGATTTAACAAAAAAGATTAGATAAAACGAAAATGATTTTAAAAAAATAAAAAATAACAAAAAAAAAAAAATGAGCCACCGAGCGGTTTTCGCCGGTGTTATTTATTTTTTTTTTTTTTTTATTAATTTTGCGCTTTCCCCTGAAGAAATTTTATTTTTTCAAAGAGAAAAGGATCCGGCGGGCCAGGGGGGCCGGGATCGATTGCTCTCTGCCTTAGTTTTTTCGTTACCACCCTCCCGCAGCGGCCAACCGCGCGCGAGGGTGGAGGGGTACCCGCTGGAGGAATTTGGTTTCTTTTTTTTTTTCCCCGCTGTTTTGTTGGCGAAGGCGTCGCGCCCGCCATCGCCCGCCTCCCCGCATCGAAGGGCGCCCGGACGAACAAAGTTTTCTCCCCCTCTTTTTTTTCTCTGAAATATTTTTTGCGAGGTTCTCCGCGCCGTTGGCGGGTTCGAAACGCCGTCGGCG